AGGCTCAGGCAAATTCAACCCTCCCCTTTTCCCTTCCCCCAACAGAAAATTAAAAAAAAGATAAAAACAATAAAATTCAAGAACTCAAAGTCTGTAATGTGGCAGAAAAGATGTTCCTTAGTTGCTGAAGTTCTCAAAAACTGCAGATGTACTCTGTACATGCGCATGTATAAAGCCAACGATACATGTACTGGTACATGTACATTCAGCCTGTGAAGCTACATGTACATGCACTAGTGATGTACTGGTAGTTAGTGGAATCTCAAACAGTAGAGTTCAATGTACTTACGGTAATTCCCTTGACTATATGAGAAGACATGTTTCAATGCTTCAGCAGTTTCAGTAATTACCGGTACTATGGTACTGTACCAGTACATGTACCGGTACCTGCTAAGCTCATTAGCAAAAAGAAGTCACCTTACACTGTACATGCCATAATTCTTTTGCCTTGGATGAATATTCTGCTTAGCAAAATTTTGTGCCATATACATGTAGTCTCACTGAATTTCGCCCATTATATTTGTTGACATGACACCATCTTAGCCACATTTCCCAGGAGGCTTTGCTGAGAAGAGTGTACAGTGTACATGTACTGTACCATTGTACATGTATGTGTACCAGTACCTGTCGTTGAAACTGTCTTTAATCTGCTTGAAAAGTAATGCTCTAAATAGTAAACCTCCCTCTTGGGTTACTAGTATTGTTTGCCGAGGGAGATCTGTTTTACCTCATGGTTGGGACAAACTGCCCGCCCCTTTTAGCTGCAGAGGGGGGTAATTGGTGAATCTCCCATTGTACTTGGGTATCAATGTGTGCCTCATTAGTGCAGGATTGTCGGTAATCAGCTTGACTTAAGTCGGGTGATCTATTCTCCCCTCAAGTACTAATCCTCCAATCTCTCTGGACTGTTGGCCTCCATGTCTGTCCTGCATTGTTTGTGTATCAGCATGAACCCTTGATGGGCACTTCGGGTTGCTGTAAGTGGGGATGCATTTAACTGTGAAGTCGATGTTCTTTACACATTGATATCTGGGAATTCGTTTTTGCCAGAATTGGAAAAAACAGGCTTGAAACTTTCTCTTGAATAGGGCTAATTAGATCCATCTCCGATTGACTCCAAGGTGCAACTGATCACACCGGTGGGTTACACTTAATGCTGTTTGAACGGCTGCCTTCTTGTGCTGCTCAAAGTGACTCAATGAAACAAGTCTAACCTAAATTCCATTATGCTTGTGGATCTGTGGCCACACCTGTTGTGAAATTCACATTTAGGAATCCTTGAGAAGGACCAGGAAGCAAACTTTAATAAACCATTTGCAAGTTAAATTGAATAAAATCTGGTGCACTGAGTTATCTGACTGCACATAAAAATAACAATTGAATTCCCCAGACTAAAGACACTGTTGCTATACCTCGTAATTCGGAGCACGCTTTGGCATAGCGACTACCATCTCTGGAATGGACTGGTTCCTTTATGCCCTCCTTATCCATTGAGAATAGTATATTATTGCAAGGCATCTCTTGTGTAACAAAGCAAAAGCTTGCCCCGAATCACAAGGTATAGCAACAGTGGTTTGAGTATGGAGAATTCAAGTTGTTATGTTCAGGTTTATTTAAAGAAAGGTGTACCAGATTTTATTCAAATTTTACCACACAAATGGCTTATTGCCCCTCTTTTTACCTTTTCAACGTCATTTTTTTAAAACATTAATTTTTTTCAGTACGGTTTTCCTATTACACTGCTTGAATGTCGCATGTTGTGCAGTGTAAATGGTGGGCTGATTTCAAATTAAAAGGTGGATTGTTAAAAAAGTTTCTTTCACTTTTCAACTTCCACCTGTTACCTTTTAACATTACCAGTAGATGTAGATGGACTGTATGTGTACCATGTACTCTCCTACTGCAAAAGGTTATACGCACCAACACAGACCTTTTTTGGCAACATGAAAGAGCAACGACCTGAGAAATTATCACCAGAGCATTTCATGCCCCATGTGACAGAGAACCCAATTACCTGTACCTGTACAGTGAGTAAGTTGTTTCTTGCTGGCCTGACTGTCAAAAGCTAACTGTTAACAGTTGAGTGTACTGTGGGCCCATCATGGTCAGCCTAATCCCCTTTGCATCTCCTTAACTCCTTCTCATCATTCACTTCACAACTCTTCAACAAAAGTTGGCTCCAGACCTGTCTGGTCTGCTCAGCTGAACATGAAATTTTATGAAGTCGTTGGAAGCAGTAAAAGGGCCGAAGGAAATTCAAAGGGTGCACCCAGGGGTGTAATGAGACTCACAGTCATTTGCAAAAGTTTAAGACCACCTTGAATTTTATTGGTATTTCTGTCACTGGGCCTGCATTACAATGTCTCACTGAATGATTACTTAACATGATTTTACAGTGGTGCATAACATCAGTGTAGTGCTATATACCCATTTGAATGGCATTTTTTGCAAAGGTGGGTCTTGTATGGCATTTTGCCTGCAAGGCAGCATGGGTAAAAAAGCCAGTCCAAGCAATCAGAAATAAGGGAGGGCACGCTGAATATTAGATTGTTACATGTACTATGTCAAATCATGGAATTTATGTGGTCAAAAATGTTAACCAAGGTTACACGCTGAAAATAAACATAAGTTGCTATGATTGATTGGTTTAAGTTTGGTTTTCTTTCAGGTTGATGCATTTTCTGTGGGTGGTCCTAAACTTTTGCAAATGACTGTACAAGTAGGTGGTCACCTTTAATCTCCAACTTGTCAGTCATTTTTGAAGTTACTGTACTGTAGTTTTGTGTGCTGTTGTTAAAGGGACACTCCTGAATTTCTACATTTGATGCAAGAGCATGTTTAATTACAGAGTTAACATTCTGTGGTGATGGAAATTCAGTTTTGAGGCAATGATTTGTGCCGACTTGATAATACTGCTTTTCAATATGGGTCAGATTTTTTGAGAATAAAGTTAGCGGTACATGACGGTCCTGGAAGTTCTCAGGACAATATGCGAATTCTGAAAAAAACAGGCAG